ATGGGCAATATGACTTTATGTGGCCAAGTTCTCCACAACCAAAGCACGTTGGAATGGGTTCCCCCTTTCTTTTACAATCTCGGGACCTAAGTTCTTCCTTCAAAAACTCTTGGAACTTCTCGAGCAAGTTATAAGAAGGATTATCGTCATCGCTATCGGAGTCACTTACCTCTACCCTTTTTGAGGATGAGGCTTTGAGAGCGAGACCAGGACTCTTGTGAAGAGAAGGTTTAAGAATAGTAGATTCATAAGTTTTAAGATTACCTCGAAGACCATCGATGGTGACATTGGTGTTACCAATTGACTCATATATGGCATCAGCTTTTGAACGCCATTCTGATGTTAAGCTCCGAAGGATTTTTCGAACAAGATCTTTGTTCGAGTATGTTTTACCAAGGACATGGAGATCGTTGATGATCTTTAAAAATCGGTCGAACATTTGATCAACGCTTTCAATTTCCTTCATTTTAAATAACTCATATTCATGGGTTAGAAAATCAATTTTAGCTTCACGGACTTGAGGCGTACCTTCGTATGTCACTTCAAGCTTATCCCACATTTCTTTTGCGGTGGAGCAAGAAGAAATTTTCCGGTAGTCATCCGGGTTAATTGCACAAAATATCACGTGTTTAGCTTTTTCAAAAGCTTCTACCTTCTTGATGTCTTCAGCATCATATTCTTCCTCCTTCTTTGGGATGGTGATTTCACCAACCTTTTTCATTGGCGTCGTCTCACCATTTTTGATGATTAACCATAGTTGGAAGTTGATTGACCGAATGTAAATCCTCATTCGTTCCTTCCAATAGGTGTAGTTTGTTCCATCAAAGAGTGGAGGTCTAATGGTGGAGTGTCCTTCGCTTAATCCTGCATACGACATTCTCAACAAAAAAATGTAGGTCGTTCTCTCAACCGGTTAAGGCTTCTAGAGAGTTAGGCTCCGATACCAATTGTTAGAATAAGTGCCCTTCACTAGAGGGGGGGGGGGTGAATAGTGAGGCACGAGAACGTTTATAAATTTTCGCGGAATAAAAAACGCAGGGATAAAGTAAAGAATGTAAAAAGTAAAGAGCGTAAAAAAAGCGTAAAGAGAGGCACACCAAGATTTATACTGGTTCACCACAACGTGTGGCTAGTCCAGTCTCCCGAGAGACTCTCTCGAGCTACACTACTTCCGTTAAGCTTACGGGTGCTTAACAAACCGTTACAACCTGAGAACTCGAGTCCCACGAGCCTCAATACACTTGCTCGGAGATACCGCACTCCAAGACTTCAACCCGAAGGAATATGCCCTTCCTTCGTACAACCAAGGGAACAAACCTCCCTTAAAGTGTTCACAACACTTAACCACTCAAGAACAAAAACTCTTTTAAAGAGTAGAATATGAGTAAACTAATTTAGATCAAGAACACACTCAATTCCTCAAGAAATGGCTCTAAAAAGCTATGTAAAAGTTTATGGAATGATGCAATGTAAAGCTATGAAATGTGTGTGGAATGGATGTCAAAAGTAGACCCAAGTGACCCCTTTTTATACCCAAAAACAAGGTGCAACGGTTGGGAGAAGATTGGAGTTGATTGGCTTGATTTGTGGAAATCAAATAAAAGTGGATCTACTGAAATTTAGCTCGACAGCGCTGTTCATATGGTGAACATCGCTGTTCTGGCTTTGACTTTCCTTTAAAAATGGCTAACGGTCA